GAAGAAGAAGAGGAGGAGGAGGAGGAGGCGGAGGAGGAGGAGGAGAGCAACAACCATAACAATAGCAGCAACAGCAACAACAACAGCAACAGCAATGACAGCAACTTACAACAACTACAACAACAACATTTAATTTCTAAAAACAAAACAACAACAACACCTCCCCACCCCACCACCACCACCACCAACAACAACAACAACCACACCTGACCATCATCAATAATCTATTTACAGAAACACCATCAACAACCACACCCACCCACCTGGGCTGCTTCCCTTCTTGCCACAGATCTCCTATAGCTCTTGGTCCGCACGTATTTGATGACCTCATCCAGATTGGTACCGCCGTAAATTCGCTTGATATTGTACAAGTCGCTGACGGCAGACGTGAGGCTTGTGTGGTCGTTCACGTCGAAGCCGGGGACCACCTGGGAACACGAGAGAAATGTTCAAGTTTATTAACAGGAGAAGAATGAGAAATAAATAATAATAATAAGAATAATAGATAGCATTTGTATAGCGCAAATCCCCGCTCACCAGCAAAGCTCTATGTGCTTCACAATCTACACAATTATTACCCCAGCAGACCTGAGAGCATTTTAATAGGAGAAGAAGCAAGAGTATTAATGTTCGATTTTGATAAGGGGAAAAAAATAAGATAAATATTCGATTTCTGCACGAGGAACTGAAAGATAAATATTCGATTTTTGTATGACTGTATGAGGGAAAGAGAAATGTTCAATTTCAGCAGTGGAAGAAGGAAGAGAAATATTCGGTTTCTATAAGGAGAGAAGAAAGAGAAATGTCCGATTTTAGTAACATAGCACGAGGGAAATGTTCGATTTTAGTAGGAAAAGAAGAAAGAGAAATTATTGACTTCAGTAGGAGAAGAAGAAAGAGAAATGTTCGATTTTAGTAGGGGAAGAAGAAAGATAAATTTTTGACTTCAGTAGGAGAAAAAGAAAGAGAAATGTTCGATTTTACGAAGAGAACACGAGAAAAATGTTATATTTTGATAGGAGAAAAAGAAAGTTTAGTTTCAGATAAAGAAAAGAAAACAGAATCAAAGCATCTGTTCGAATAACAGAGTTGATATAATGCGTCTTTTTCGAATCGTCTCAAAACAGCCAGGAAGAATGATCAGGATACGCGTCCTCATTAGTAAGTGAAACTGAACGTAGAGCCGGCAGGCTCAAGAGTAGCTGAGATCTCCAGAAAAAAAAATTCCTCCTCACATATTTCTTTCTTTTTGTAAGAGTTTTACGGCGCTCGCAAGTGCATAAGGTCATACGAGCGCGCAAAACACAAGTTGGTTGCATTTACAACACTTCACAGCACGGCTTGGTTTTGATAAATGATAAGATGAAAAGATTAAAAAATTTCACGGTAAAAATCTCAATATAAAAATTACAGTTTACATTACATTAAAATAATAATATTAATTACATTTTTGTGTAAAGGCCTTGACAAAATCGAAAATTCTGTTGGGATCAACGACGGAGAACAGATCTTTTTCCTCTACATCTATACTTAAGCTCGTGCATACTTCGTTTAATCATAACCTTTGACACAGCCTCCACCTACGTGTCAGGAAGATACTAAGCCAAAACAATTTTTTTTGCACTCGGTGTCAGTAATTCGGTCAGAAAAATATTTCTGTCCTTGCCAAGCCTCAGGCTGTTTCAATTAGCTCTAAGATAATGGGAGAGCCAGTGGCTTCTGGGGAGGCAAGGACTTCGAAATATATCTTTTTTATGATCTGCGCACTAGCATAACAATTTTTATGCACCTTGACGGAATGAAAGAATGTAACAAGAGTGGAAAGAATGGGGTAAAGAAGCTGAGGTTTCAGCGGGCAAAAGGTTCTAACTAGTGTCAGGGTGGTATTGCAATAGGATGTTTTCACTCTGCGCCTGTAAAGTGTGGGTTAATTTGAGGAGAAGGCAGGTTTTTCTTTTACGTGGGAAAAAGAGGATTGGGGAGGTCGGGGACGCATTTTCGTTTTCGTTCCTTCTTTTTTGTTTTCTCAAGCATCTAATGTCCGTATCTTTCCTTCTTCTTTTCTTAGTATGTTTCTCTAGTAACAACTCTAATCTTCGGAACTTATGCATCCTATCTCATTTTACAAGTACAGTTAAACTCTTTCTGAAACTAAACTACACAACTGTCGTCTTTAGCAAAGGCTTAATATTATGCAACACGAGTATACTTTGAACTCCCTTCCCACAGGCCCTTTCTTAAATGCATTAAAGCCGTCTTGTGGGATTGACGTAACAGGTACCCGATATGGTACTCACTGAGACTGGAGGTCACATAAATTCCCCGCGGACAGGGAAAAGTTTACTTTAACCAAGTAATCTAATGGCCCGAGCATAAAGGGACAAAACATTAATTTGCACCAATAATAAGAGGCCCATTTAAGCCGAGCATAATCTCGTCATTTCTAACTTTCGAACCTAAGTGCAATCTAAAACAAAGCTATGAGGTAGACTAAAAGCCACGCACGAGATTATCATCTTTCCGACCATTAATTTGAATCCTTTAAAACTGGAACAATTACGACTTTGTCACGTCTGTGGATTTTAGGTGCAAGTTGTCTAGACAGCCAGAGGCCACCTGGAGGTAATGGTGGACTTTGCAAGCTCAAGCTCGATGCATATTGGGACAATTTCGATGAATGATAAATTTGAAATTATTTACCAGAAACAGAAGAGCTCGTATTCAGTTTTCACCATTCTGTTCGCCATCTCTCTCTCTCTCTCTCTCTCTCTCTCTCTCTCTCTCTCTCTTTCCCTCTCTCTTCCTCTCTTTCTCTTTCTCTCTCCCTCCTACCACCTTTCCCTCCATCTCTACCCCGCCATCCCCCACATTTCCCTCTCTCTATATTCCTGTCACCATGAGTAGGACGTGTCTCACTTTGCTTCTTCAGTCATTCTATTTGTATAACCATTCACTGTCTGAACCTTCTGAACTCTATTTTTTTTCTGCTGAGACGCGTTGATTAAAATTTAGAGGATATCTGGGCAAAATGACTTCTTTAAAGAATCTGCCCTCTTACCGTATACCCTATACAACTCAAATAAAAGCTAAAGGAGAAAACAATTAAAAAGAAAACCCAGAACAAACCCCGAAGCAATCAACGGAAAAAAACAATTACAAAAACACATACTTAAAAGTGCAAAAGGAGGCTGTTCTTGTGACGGCTCTTCTCGACTCCACCCAGACTCAGTATCCAAAGCGTTGACATTTTTACTCTAACTTCACTCAAACTGCACTAGCTACCTCTCCCTTGACCCCGCTTTGATTGTGGTATTTCGAGACTGAACATTTCCATAATTAACGCCAACTCAAACAAACGGCATAAAAAAAGCCCCACTCAAGACTCGAAAACTAAAAAACTGAATGAGGAGCCGTAAAATTCTTACATTCTTTTCGGTGAAAACAACTGCAGAGTTTTATCCCACTCAGAACTAAAAATGCAGTAAAGGTGGTAACCCAGAAAAACAAATCAAAAACGAAAATTAAAAAAAAACAAAAACCGAAAAAACCCACAACCTCACACACACCTTTTCTTCAAAGATCGTCAAGTACTAGACTAGTGTAAAATCAAAGCAGCCACCCACGCACAGACCCTAAAGATATGAAACACACCTTCCCGCATTCTCACATCCATTATCCTTTCATCATAAACAGCCAGCTTCTACAATGCTTTCAAGACCCCAACTTCCAAAAACGGTCCGGAAATTATTGGAACTGAACCTGGTGGATGAAAGGGTTGACGAATGTGTATGGTATTCATGAGCCGAAACAAAAACACTTCAATCATTAACACACACACGTGTTTAATCATAATATGGTATTCCAGCACGTAGCCCTTACTACATTTTGGGTGGAAAGGTGGGGGTGGGGGGGTGGGGGACTCAT